AAGTAGCTAAAGTTGTGCATAGATCATTATTTCTTCAAGTAGAATTCTCAGAAATGAACCTGGGGTCAAAAGACATTTTAAAAAATACTGATCCATATTGCCAATTTATGCCACACACAAAAAAATAAATGTACAGGTTTTTTTTTTTTTCTAGGTGTGTCCATTGATACTTACAAGCTAAAGCATACTTAATAAATATTGGTCCCAAACTTGCTGGGGTTTCTCATGCAACATAATGGAAATAAACCAGATTTGGAATAAGGCCAACCCAGTTTGAAACCCTATATGCCATTTCTATAATCTCTTTGAATTTTATTCTCTTTATCTGCAAAATCAGTTGATAAATTATACTTTCATAGTATTGTGGAGATTAAATTTCTTAGTAAGTAAATGTGAACATGCTTTAGAGTACCTGGCACATAGATGTTCAACAAATATTAGTTTCCCTGCTCTTTTAATTTCTCCCCAAATCCCTCATATTCATAATTTCTGTATAATTGAGTTATAAGTATGAAAAGTTTATTTTAATATTTTCCATCTTATGCTTGTTCAGGGATCTTTTAAGAAGAAGTTGAGGTCTTCAGAAGGAAACTGTTAGACACCAGCACAAATAAAACAAGCACTGTGTATTCATCCAGAAGTCCTTATTAGGTGGCAGCCTTAGAAATTCTAATTGGAAGTTATTTGTAATTTGAAGCCCGAGACTTCCTAATCAGGAACTTTTGATTCATTTGTTTTCATTCATTATCTCACATAACAAGGGCAGCTCCAGGTTCAGTACAATTAGTAACTCAATGATGTCTTCAGGGAACTGGTCCATTCCATCTCTTTGCCATACTCATTATGTAAGCTTAACTGTAAGACTCCTTCATAGACAAGAAGGCTAGGGCAGTCCCAAACATCACATTGAGACATAGTGTTGTCCATAGCTGAAGAGGGTCTTCCGCTGTGCCTCCCTGAAGTCCCTTGAAAGATCTCTTTCACTTCTTATTTACTAGAACTGGGTTTAAATGTCCTCTCCTAGATTGTCATTCTAAGTGAAGTAAGCCAGAAAGAGAAAGAAAGAAAAATACCATATGATATCACTTATATTTGGAATCTAAAAAAAAAAAAAAGACAAATGAACTTACAAAACAGAAACAGACTCACAGACATAGAAAACAAACTAATGGTTACCAGGGGGGGAAAGGAGTGGGAAGAGATAAATTGGGAGTTCGAGATTTTCAGATACTAACTACTATACTTAAAATAGATAAACAATAAGTTTATACTGTATAGCACAGGGAATCATATTCAATATCTTGTAGTAACCTATAATGAAAAAGAATATGAACACAACTATATGCGTATATATATACACACACATATATATATGACTGAACTATTGTGCTGTACACCAGAAATTGACACAACATTGTAAATTGCCTATACTTCAATAAAGAAAAAAAAGTCCTCTCCTAAAGCAAACAATGGCTAAAGGAGGAGAAAGACTTTGAGTGTAGACCAAGAGGATTCTTCCCTACGTATCAGAACTTCTGAGTCACATGGAAGATAGATGAGCCAACAGATCCAGTATTGGCTTTTGAGGCAAAGAGACAGTAAGGAATGCATATTGGACAGGTCACCAACAGTACCTGATCGAGAAATGTACTCAAATTCAGTTTTTTTAAGGACCTACAATGTGTCCTAAAGTGATATAGTTGTGAAATGCAGAAAAAAAGAGAAAACAGGAACATTATAGTTGATAGTAACAACTTTGAGTTTCAAAACATTTAGATTATACATCATTTCAGTTAATTCTTAGAGCCAAACTACAAGATAGTTGGCATTGACATCCTCATTTAATGGATGGAGGTAGCAAGACTCAGGAAGATGAAGTGATTTCCCTTGAATTATGCAGCTAGTAAGTGCCCACACCAGAACTCAAGCCCAGGTCTCAGAGTTGCCAATCTCCATTTCTATGACCCTAAGTTACCTTTTGAAAAACCAAAGTCAACTACAAGCTGTAAAAGGTTCTGGTGGAGTGTGAAATTGTGAGATAAACATTTTGTGTGTTATAGGGAGGACCGTTCTGGAAGGGATGAGTCCCAGAAGTTCTCTTCAAGGAGAAACATTATGACTTATGCCCTAAAATGGAACTGAAAGAATGTCTTAAAAAAGGAGACAGGGAAGGGAGAGGAGAAAACTCTTCTTTAGCTTCTCTTTGGAGTTAGTTTCACCAGGTCTAGATGGGTTAAAGTCCTTGAGAGCTATCCCCATCCCCACACATGGCAGCAAAACAAAGGGACAAAGGAAGATTGCCGATAAAGCTCCCCTCCCTCCCTCTCCTTAGAGCTTATCAGCAACTTCATCAGCCATTGGTCAGTTGGAGCAAATGTGCATGCCGCCCCCTAGTGACACTGCGTGTAGAATACAGGCTTACCCAAGTTCTAAGTGAAGTAAGCCAGAAAGAGAAAAATATCATATGATATCACTCATATGTGGAATCTAAAAAAAAAAAAAAAAGAAAAAAGAGGACACTGGTGAACTCATCTACAAACGAAACAGACTCACAGACATAGTAGACAGTCTTATGGTTGCTTGGGAAAAGGGAGTGGGAAGGGATAAATTTAGGAGTTTGAGATTTGCAAAGGTCAACCACTATATATAAAAATAGATAAAAAACAAATTTCTTCTGTACAGCACAGGGAACTATATTCAATATCTTGTAATAACCTTTAATGAAAAAGAATATGGAAGTGAATATGTATATATACATATGCATGACCAAGCTATTATTCTGTACACCAGAAATTGCCACATTGTAACTGACTATACTTCAATTAAAAAAGAAAAGGAAAAAATAGTGCTAGAAATTTCCTTAAGGGAAGTTGTTAGAGAATTCTTACATCCAAGTCACCATACGATTCCCTACTCCCATTTCCTGTGATAATCATGTCCTGAGTTTTTCATTTGGAAGAGTGAATTTCTTCATACATCTCCGATATCCTAAAGTCAAAGTCACCTGTTCGCTAAGCATCAAAAAAGGTAAAATAAATTCCTTTTTCATTCACTTTTTCCAGTAAAATGACATGTTCAAAGGAATATTTATTTGTTGCATACTATGTGCCAGGAATGGTGTTAGAATCTGGAGGTGTAGCAGGGAACAGCAAAAAAAAAAGAGGTCTCCATCCGCATAGAGGTTGTATACTGATGGAGGGAGGGGCAGAATAAATCGTGAACAAGGTGGTTTTAGATTGTGATAAATTCCATGAAGGAAATTAATGGGATGGAGTGTTATTGAAAGTAATCGTGGAAGACCCTCAGAAGTACCAGTAAGCTGAAATGTAGACCTGCTTTGAGAACAACCTGCAGAAAACCATTTTAGGCAGAGGGAATACAAATGAAAAGCCTCTGACATGGTAGGACATTTGGCCAAATTTTTGAACATGAAGTAGGTCAGGTTGCTGCAGGAAAAACGAAGGAGGGCCGTATCTCAGGCTTCAGTTGAGCCCCTGGGACGTGCCCTGCCAAGTGTGGGTCCTTGGCTTCGCACAGGAAAGAATTCAAGAGTGAGCCACAGTTGAGTAAAGGTAGATTTATTTAGAGATACATCAAAAGGCAGGAGAAGGGCCACGAGGTGTGGGGGTTGGGCGCTCAGATTAGAGTAAAAGTAGGTACACACTCCATAGACAGAGTACAGGCTGTCTCTCCAAAGAGGGAAAAGAGAGGGGCAGTGGCCGAGAGGCACCATGTTGCCAGTTTTTATGGGCTCAGTGGCTTCATATAGTAACAAGTGGAAGGACCAGAGTAACTAGTCTGGGGAAGGGGCTGGGATTCCCAGGAAGTTGGCCATTTCCCACTCTTTGGCTTTTTGTGGCTAGCCTTGGGACTGCCGTGGGCCTGTGGGCATGTTATCCACCATGTTAATATATTGCAGTGGGCGTATAATGAACCCCAAGGTCTCCTGGAAGTTAAATCTCCCACCATCTTGAGCCTCAAGGCCTACTAGAGGTTGAATCTTTCACCATTTTGATGTTAATTGCTGTAGCATTCCTTGAATGGCTGTGCCCTGCCCCCTTCCTGTCTCAAGATTAGAAGAATCACAAGGAGAGAAGAGATTAGTTTGAGGAGAGGTTGAAGCGGTGGTGGTGGAAGGTTTGCATTTATTCTAAATGCAAGGAGCCAAAGGCAGTTTTAAGTAAGGAAGTGACATCTGATTAGTAGAGAGAGCATAATAGTTATGGTTGAAAAACAGAAACAGCCTCCTGATTACAAAATGCTTCCAGCAATAGGGATCAAATCTCTGTAAGAATTATTATTACTGCTATGTTTATCATCTGCTGTAAAGTCTTCAGGTGAGATGCAGAGTCTCAATTTACTCATCTATAAAGTGAGAGCAAATTTTTTGAGTCAGGAATCTCCTCTCAGCTCTGTTTTACTTCCAGTCACTGGTCGAAGAAAAATCTTTATCCTGACAATGAAACCTCATTATTTATAACACGAGCACTTCTAGCATGAGGTGATTGATGACTGCATGTATGTGTGTGTTTCCCTACTTATCAGAGGTCAGAGTGTGGAGGTGAAGCCTATTAATGAGAAAAAAAAAACACTATGAAAGCACAAGTATTTTTTAATATTTTTAAAATTGAAGTATAGTCGGTTTACAACGTGGTGTTAATTTCTGGTTAAAAGCACAAGTAGTATTGCCAACTTCTGAAAATATTTTCCTTTGGGTTTGGAAGGAAGCATTTTGATTAATGGAAATTTAGTATTGTAGGGTGACAAGGGCTGGTGGAGGCACTGGGATATTGTGATGGTGGTGTTGATAACAAGTGAGTAAAATAATAACGGTAATTTTAATAATAATAATAACAGTAATTTAGTTAATAGAAAATGTGAGGTTTGTTTAAAGAATTGGAGATAGCAAGAGAATAGAAAATGCCCACTCTGGCTTTAGTACAGTGTGTGTATATCACCCCACCCCCATTTTTTTCTGTTTTGTTGTTTTTTTTTTTCAGATTCACAATACCTGACTTGCCGAATGCACAACTGCACAGACGCCAACAGACATAAACCCTTCCCGGGCTACATTGACCCAGACTCTTTGATTGTCCAGGATGATTACGTATTTGTTCAGGTAGGAAAGATCCACCTCCACTGACTGTCTCAAAGGTATTTCCCTTCCTGGCTCCTGTCCATAATGCAGCCCCTTTTGCCTGCTTACAATCCTTTAAAAGCAAAAAAGAAAGAAAAAAAAAGCACTTTATTTTTTAATAAAAGGAACATTACCAAGTGTCAGCTTTTCTACTAACATAATAGTAGTTAGTTCCCTGGGGCAGTGCTTGGAGGGCCACGTCTATGTGGGGTCCTTGAGGCATTGCTTCGAGCACTGGGGTTGTCTCCAGGTCACTCTCTTCAGCTGCCTCCCAGAGAAGCTCCCTTGGGTCACCAGCAGGACCCAGCACATGTGTCAGTCTCTTCTTGTCAGAACTGTCAGCCACAGACCCTCCTCCTAGGGCCCGCCTTAAAAATAGAGTCAGGCCTAACAGGCGGCTGTGGGAGGCAGAGACCAGGTGGAGGTGGGGCGTAATCAGCCATTATTGTCAGACCCAGACTGTGATTAAGATCGAGAGAATTTAGATGAGATGTATTCAGACAGTTTGTTCACCTCCAGAGACAGTGGGGAACAATTTGAGAAGCTGAGGGCTCATGAGTGCTCAGAAGAGAGAGGGAGCAGGTATGCTTTGCTTCTTTTCAGCACCTAAGGAAAAAATTACACTTGTTTGGACAAAGCATTTAAAAATTCAGTTAATGTTTTCCATGTTAAAGGTGATGAAGGTCCGATTGCTAAATAGTTTATATACATGTATATAATTTTACCATGATTGAGACACATTCCAGACATATTATATTTATTTGGATAAGAAATAATGATTTACAATATTTAATCCCATGTATTGGGAAGCAGATGTTTAAAATACTTAATAGCCTAGGTGCTTTTTAAAATATTTCACAATCACACACACAACCTTTTTTCTTCAGGAAAACGGATAATGAGTTATTCAGATGACTTCAGCATCAAATTATCAAGTGACATTAAAATGGGAAATTGTTACAGACGTTGGTTCTTTCTATAACTCATTTCTCCATCAGTGTTGCCTCCAGGGTCCCTTCCTGTTTCCCAGTAACAGTTTATAATCCACATATATGACTTACAAATGAGGATCAATTCTGCATTTAGAGTTTCCTACATTTTCTGCCCTGGCCACTATGAACACGATCCTGTAACCCCATCACTTGGACTAAGAGGTGGTCTGGCCACGTAATAGTGAATAGGAGAACGTTCCAGTCACATCTGTATGTGTCTGATGAGCATTCACCCAGAGCATTTGTTGACATTCTGAGTATGCCAACTCCAGCTGACATTCAGACTCCAGATATTTATATGGGTTAAGAGTGGCAACACGAATTCATAGAAACAGAGAGTTGAATGGTGGTTTCTAAGGGAAGGGGTTAGGGAAATGGGGAGAGGTTGGTCAAAGGATGTACATTTCTAGCTATAAGATGATTAAGTTCTGGGGGTGTAATATACAGCATGGTGAATGTACTGTATGATGTGCTTGAAAGCTGTTAAGAGATTAGATCTGAAATTTTATCACCACACACACACACACACACACGCAAACAATCTTAAGTGAGAGGATAGAGGTGTTAACTAACCTTATATGTGGCAATCATTTCACAATATATACATCTCAAATTATCATATTGTACACTTTAAACCTGCATATGTTATATATCAATAATATCTCAGTAAAGCTGGGGAAAGAAAGAATGGCTGCAAAGGAGACAGAGATAGGCAGTGCGTCCCTGAGTTGGAGAACACACTGCTCCTCCCCCACCTCAGACCCCAGGGTTCACTGGGCGCTATGTCCGGGACAGACCTGAGGGAGGAAGGCCACAGTTCTCTTCTGGGAAGCCCAGGTCTGGAACGATTTGGAGCCACGACCCTGGCTTGGCTTTTTGTCTAACATTGCTGTGTGTGGGAATGACATGCTCACAGCCATCAACGTGGCAGCACCAAACTGGATTTCAGCACCCAAAATGGGAGGCTCCAGTTCTGCCACTGTGACCCTGACCGCTTCCTTCTGATTGGCTTGGGGAACCCGTGCGTGTGGCCACAGGCTTGGGGCTATACAGCTGAGCTGCTGAGGGACATTGATCCAATGGACCCTGAGGCTTGTATCATTTAAAAGAAAAATAACTAAAAATGTTTCCTGGCTTCTGAGCCACAGTACAGATTGAAGAATTGTATTTTTGTCCAGTGGATTCAGTTGGGACTTGAGCAACACACATACACTGTCTAAGTTGTTTTTGAACTGAATGCCAATTCTTTGCACTTGCCCACCATAGTGCTCGACGCTGTTGTGTTGGCAGCTGCCCCCTTCCATTCAGCACTGCCCTTCGATGACCTGTAGCTATTGTGGGAGCTCCTCTGACAACCTCTGTGTTTTCCCTCCAGCTGACATCAGGAGGACGGCCACATTACTACGTGTCCTACCGAAGGAACGCGTTTGCCCAGATGAAGCTGCCCAAGTACGCTCTGCCCAAGGTATGGCCTGCACCAGTTTCTCCATTTACAGTATTAACTCTGACTTGCCTGTTCCCGCCTCCACTCTTTCCCAAGGACCCTCTCCATCTCTCATGGTCCTTTCTTTCTTTTCATCCCCATTTCTGTTTCTCAAGTTCACTTCTTTCCCTTTTTCATTGCCAGTCTCATTATCTTCCTTTCTCTTTCAGCGGTCCCTTCCCCCACCCCACCCCTTCACCTGGATTTCTTGCTACAAGAACATCTGGGTTTAAACTGTACCTGATTTGCTTTTGCTTTTCAATAGTAAAGATTTTCAAGCGGTATGTATTGATTTTCTAGCAAGACAGAAGCTGTGCTTTGGATACATGGTGTATCAGTGCAAAAGGAATGATGCATTCATACCCCATTTTGTTGTTACTAATTACAGAAAGGTGATGCAGCTATATAACGTCCGTCCTTTGCTTCCCCTCTCAGTGGAACTTATGAGACCAATTGTCCTTTGGGTTTGGAGACACAGCTAATTTTTTAGATTTTCCCAAAGACTTACTCCTTTGAAAATAGTGGCCAACAAAAGTTTTTAGACTCCCCACTGCTGGCATCCCAGGCTGTCTCATAAACACATGAACACTGAAGAACTGTGTTAATATGGAGCGCCACCTAGTGGAGGTGAAACTGACTTGGGAGCGCAGAGCTGTGGATTTGAGGTCTTGTACCACTGTGATGTGTTTTAAGTGCTCAGAAATCCTTAGCATAAACGGGGGTGTCTTTACTTTTTTAAACTTTTTCAATTGACATACAGTGATTGATAATATTGTATTAGCTTCAGGTGTACAGCACAGCAAGTCAGTATTTTTATAGATTATATTCCACTTAAAGATATTACAAAATAATGACTATATTTCCCTGTGCTATACAGTATAACTTTGTTACTTATTTATTTTATACATATTAATTTGTGTCTCTTAATCCTATACTCCTGTTTCACCCCGGCCCCTTCCCTCTTCCTCACTGGTAACCACTAGTTTGTTCTCTGTATCTGTGAGTCTTTTTCTGTTTTGTTATATACATTTGTTTGTTTTATTTTTTTAGATTCCACATATAAGTGATAACAAGAGTATTTGTCTTTCTCTGTCTGACTTATTTCACTAAGCATATTACTCCCTAGGTCCATCCATGTTGTCACAAATGGCAAGATTTTATTCTTTTTAATGACTGAATAATATGCCATTGATATTCCATATCTTCTTTATCCATTCTTCTGCTGATAGGCACTTAGGTTGCCTCTATATCTTGGCAGTTATAAATAATACTGCTATGAATTTTGGGTATCTTTTTGAATTAGTGTTTTTGTTTTCTTTGGATATATACCCAGCAATGGAATTGCGGGATCATGTGGTAGTTCTATTTTTAGTTTTTTGAGGCACCTCCAGATTGTTTTCCATAGTGGCTGCACCAATTTGCAATCCCACCAACAGTGTACTAGGTTCTCTTTTCTCTACATCCTTACCAACATTTGTTGTTTGTAGACTTTTTGATATAGCCATTCTGACGGAGAGATGTGCCTTGATCATAGGACAGGGAGATGTGTGTGGCTGTAAGATGGGGACAGGGTAGGTTTAAATATAGTTACAGTTCAGCTTTGAAATCCTTGGTTGAACAGAGAATGTGAATAACTTTTTTGATTGAGTTTTTATTACTCTTTGCCTGTATTTTTATCAATGACTTTGTAGCATGCTGTCTTGGGCCAACACCAGTTATCTGCCCAGGAAATCCATGATAGATACAGCCTAAGGCACTGCAGGTCTCCTCTCCCAGGAGAGCCAGTGGTGTCCAATGGCTCTGGCTTCTCCAGGCGGAATTCTCCTTCCGGGCCATCACTCTGCCCCTAACCCTAGCAGCGTGAAAGGTGAGCTGTAGACCTCAGCCCATTAGAGACAGTAACACACATTAAATTATGCTATTAATTCCAAGGAATGATATCTGTGTTAGTAGTTACTGTTTTCAGCTGCTGAGAGACTAACGACAGTGGTAATTGCCCAGAACGATATGCCTGTGCCTGTATCAGTTTAAATGCTCTTTGCTCTTGATTTGGCTTAAAATATTTTTGGAAAAGACAAACACAGCATTGGGGTTGTGCCTTAGATGTGAATTGGGTAAAGTCAGTATATAAAAGGAAAACTGAGTGTTGTTAAAATGACCCTTGATAATCTTTCAGGCAGGTCTGTGAGGGAGATGATCACGTTACCTGGGTCCAGCAGAGCTGGGTTGTTTTTTTTTTCCCCTTGAGCACTGAAATAAATTGCTATTTCTTTGACCAACAAATTAAATAGTTGGCTTGCAAGATTTACACCTCTAAAAAAAAAAGGAATTAATACTCAATGCAGGAAGATGCTTCTGTTCAAGAGGCATGTGGGAATTGAAGCCAGGTTAGGAAACAGCAGATTCTAGTCACTCATCTCGTGCTTACTCTTGGGACTGACCTTTTTGAATGGAATAAGTTTCAGCCAAACCAAATGCTGTTTGCTGCAGAATTGAGGCTTGAACTCAAGCTCCTGACTCCCAACCTGGTGTTCCTCCTATTACACTTTTCTACTATTGAAATAAATTAATAGATTCTGTTGTTAAAAGGGAGCAGTGCCCTCCCAACCCCCACAAATGTTGATATACCCAGGGGTATCCAGAGAAACAGTCCCACTGACCTAAGCAGCCCTAGACGTGGTAGCTGAAAACCAAAGAAGCCTCTTTGGCGCCTTGACTAGAGTATTAGGAAACACATACTTTGCATTGCTTGTTCATAGCCATCACACAGATCACTGTTGACAGTTGCCCCCAGTGGCGTCTCGCCAATCTGGAAGGAAATGTTTTACTTTGAGCCTGAATCGGCTGTCTGTCCCCTCCCCCTCTTTCCCAGATGAGCATGTCCCATTACTCAGTCTCATCTGAGGTCTGCAGTGATTAATTTAGCTTGTCCTCGGAAAAATAGGAGCCACTATAGCAAATGGATATATTATTTGGTCCAAGCTGGTGTTTATTATTTAAGGCAATGAGATGCCTTATTACAATCCCATTACGCTTCAAAGCGAAGCCCCAGCTTGGGTGGAGTGATCCTGGCAAAGTGCGTATATTTCACGGCCCGTATCAAAGTGGGGCTGCTGCGTCTGGGAAGGAACAAAGCTTCATACCGACTAAAGGAATTGAGACAAACCAGCACTTTCATGCTCAAATTTTCTTTAATCATCCCCTGCCATTGTATCAGGTCCTGAAAGATCGTGGTTACTCTGAGAGGTGTTTAAAAAAATTTTTTTTTTACTTTAATGATAACGTAATGGTACAGATCACCAGAGAGGGAGATGAAGGGGGGTTTGTAATATCACTATTACCATGAAGAGCATGAGGCCCTCGAGACAGGGAGACCTAGTGACAGTTTTCTTCCCTTCATGTACTTGGAGCTTATTTTGAGCTACTCAAGTGAGATTAATGAGGCAATACATATGAAAGTGCTTTGAGCATTTTGGAGGACAGATGCTCTATAAAAGCAAGGTAATATTATTATTAGTATGGATCTAGTTGTCCGGGTGGTAGAAGATCGATGTGAACTGGGGTGGGGGTGGTGGAAAGGCTGCTTGATTCACAGCAAGAGACCCTATTTCCAGACCTCAATCTGTCACTCACCTGCTTGAACCTTGGGCTGGTTTATCAGGTTCTTTCTCTTTATTAATTTATTTATCATTTTTCAAATTACAGAGCTTTGATTCCCAACATTTCCTCAGATGTGTTAATAAAATGTGCTTAGAGATGCTTCATGAAGACTTGGTTCTATGATCAGTAAGTTTAAAAAAGAAATGAACTGCATTCTACGTAGAGAAGCTTGCTGGTATGTTGACGCCTCAAGGATGTCCTGTGAGCAGCAAAGCTGTATAATTCAGCATTAATCAAAACATTTTACAAAAGGGCCCATTAAAAAAATATATTAAAATCCAGCAATGGATGTCCTGCAGAACAAACATTGGGAAACACTCTGGAAGATCTCAAAGTTCACTTCTTGGCCTAAAGTTTTGTGTCTCAGTAAAGACTTTCAATATAAAGTGCCATTTGGGGAGAAGTAACATATTTTCCTGATACAGAAGGAAGTAGGCAAGAAGTAAAAGAAGAGAAGGCATTGCAGTAGTCAAACATTTCAACTAAAAATTTAAGATCAATATCATTTTTAAACAGTCTGGTCCATGTAATTAGACTATGTGGAGAAAGAGATCTGCCCTTGGCCCTTGTCTAGAGATGGCCATTTTAACCTGTTTTTATTATGTGACTAGTTCTCTAAGGGACTTAAACACTTGATACATCTGTGTTTTCTGTTTCACACCAACCAAGGAAAGGTTTGAGTGAGCTGGGATAGTACAGATGACTTACTCTAGCCCCTAGGATCATTTAATGAGTTGTCTGTCGTGACCCTGATCTCCAAGGTTCACCAGGGCACTAATTTATTCCCAAGATACTGAGGTGGTAATTAATTATACAGGGACCGGGCTAGTGTTGGAATATTGCAACTGGAATTCAGGGATGATGCTACATCCTGCTGACAAGGAAGGAAACGTGAACTGGGAGGAGCTGTTTGAGGGTTCTAATGCTAGGGTGAGGATGTTGATCTTTGCCCTATAGGAAATGGGGAGCCACGGAAGGCTTGGGCCTCAGTGGGTGAACGGCTCTTGGGCTACCTCCCACAGCTAATTCCCTCCATTAGGAAGAAAAAAATAAATTGAATAAACCACTTTTTTTTTAAGTATATTAGTTAGTACCCTAATATTTACAGTGAACAGAAAGGCCAAACCAACCTTGCTTAATCAACAAAGGGGATTTAGGTGTTTACGTAACTGAAAATAGCTCACAAGTATGGAGCAGTTGCTAAGTTCCAGGCACTATTTTAAGTGCTTAACACTTACAAGCTGATTTAATCCTCACAAGTCCATGAAGGGCACACTCTTATCTCTGTTTTGCAGGTCGAGATTCTAAGGCATAAAGTTCTGTTCACTCAGCTAAGGTATAGAGCCAGGATTTGAACTCAAGTAGTTTTGCTTTCAAAGACCGTTCTTTTAACCATGTTGTTTACTGTCCTACTAAGCAAGTTTACAGATAGGCAGGCTTCTTAGATGCCCACATTCAAAGACTCAAAGAATGTCAAGAAATTCAGACCATCTCTCTCTACCTTTTAAGCCTGTATTTTCAGGATTGCCTTACTCTCTGCCTCCAAGAGATGTCTCCATCAGATCTAGACTTTATTTTTACTCTGACTGCTTACAAACTAATCCAAATAAGACATGATTCTAATAATTCTAATAATTCTAGAATCACATCTTACTGATTTTGCTTGAGTTGTATACCCATCACACATCCAATCACTATCATCGGGAAATTGAATTTTCTGAATGCTGGGCCTGTGAAATCACTTCTGGTGCTGAGGGTGGGAGAAAGTAACAAAGACTGAGTACAGGTAGGAGACTTGTCTGAGAGGGATAAGGATGTTTTCAAAGAATTTGAAGCCACAATTGCCAGGAGAAATGGAAACAGGCACTGGGAGGATATAAGCTATGGCCGACTTTTATACCAGACCTTGGTTTGCATTATCGACCACGCTGAATTCATGAGCTGGAGTCATTTTTTACCTCCCCACTCTGGATTATTTTCTGCAAAAACCTTATCAAACTCTAGAGTACGGCAGATAAGTTCTGAGAAGGGGTCAGGAATATGAAGCCCTTTGGATAACGACTTCTTCCTTCTGGGATCATATGAGTTCACTATGATCGAAGCTTAGCAGGACTAAGAGGCTCGTCCCTATGTTTGTAAAGCAGAGTCACAGCTGAGTTGCTGTTTGATTGATGACAGAACATGAGCATATATTATGAGAAGTTTAGGTGAGAAGTTAGGTAGAATTTTCCAGACGTGGAATCATTGCCAGGAAAGACTGACAGATCTCCTGAAGCTTTTCAGGAATGGAGGGTGATCTATCTGGAAAGATTTGGGCACTAAGCTTCAAAACACCAGGAATCTTTCCAGGCTGTCCTTCTACCTTTAGGCTTTTGAGTAATTCTGTTTTTGTTTTGTTTTGACTTTTGATTTTTGAAAGTGATGCTCATGTGTACCACCTTGGCAGGAGGGGAAGGAGGCTACCAAGAGCAGTGAGCTGGCATTCCTGAAAGGAGATGGCAGGCCTTGGTCTGAGACAGCAAACTCTGATGTGTGTCCGCTTCTCCCTGAGCACTCACTTCTCCGAGTTCTGAACAGGGAGCAGAAAGGATTTAGAATCTCCACCTCAGGGATGCCTGCTCACTGCCTCCATGTTACCTCTGCCTTCTTTCTATTTTCTAGGACAACCGGAGTCTGAAAACATCATGAATTGTGCAGACTGTTTTTCCCTTCTTTTATTTAAGGTTACCTGCTGAGTGGAGGTTTCAATAATCTAAGTCCTTGAACACCCATTAACCTGAGGATGAGTGCTCTGGGGTTCTCATATGAACATTTTCCCTCTGGAGCTTCTGTGGTTTGCTGAGCATTAGGGCAGTGCTTTGCAAACTTTAATGTAAATATTAATCATCCATGGACTTTATTAAAATACAGATTTCTATTCAGTAGGTGAGGCCTGAGGTTCTGTGTGTCTAACAGATTTATAGGTGATGCCAGTTGCTAGTCCATGGACCACTCTGCGAGATGCAGGGCTTGTCTGTTTTCTCTCTGCTCCTCCAGTATTTCCTCATATTTGCCCCTGATATGCCTTCTGAGCATGTACTGTGTTGGTGCTTGGCAAATATATCAGACTTGCTAGATTCTCCAAAGTCATGCATATTTGGGAAATCATTCTTCAAATTATCTAATGAGGCAATTAAATGATAACTGAGCTGCCAAGCATCTCTCTGTCCTATTTTCTCATGACCTTACTACCTCACCTCATAAGTGACAAAGGGAATAGTGATTAACGCTTAACTGATTATTATTTCACAAATAGGCAAAAGGAAAATCTCTTGTCCTCCCTCACAGCGCCTCGGTGCCTATTCTGGGATCCCTCATCCGACTCCACGCTCTTTGGACGCATGCCAGGCAAACTTATGAAACTCTTCTTCCTTGTCCCTTCCCTGGGTCTCTCCTCAGGACATGCACGTCATCAGCACAGATGAGAACCAAGTGTTTGCGGCGGTCCAGGAATGGAACCAGAACGACACATACAACCTCTACATCTCAGACACCCGTGGTGTCTACTTCACCTTGGCCTTGGAGAATGTCCAGAGCAGCCGAGGCCCCGAGGGCAACATCATGATCGACCTCTATGAGGTATGT